ATGTGGGCCACTCAGGGAAATAACGTGGCCTTGCTCAGCAAGGCTCCTAGAAGCTGCCACTCTGCTATGCTGCACTGAAAGTAATTTAGATGTATTGTGCTTCTGGGTCCTCCTCATTCTCCTGTTCCCAAAAGGCATCGTTGCTGGTGGAAAATATTCAAACCTGATATTTCTGAAGGTGACTTGAGACTTCAAAAGCTCTTTATTGCCAAGCTGCTGGGCAGCTTACTTCTCTAAGGAAGTCAGCAGGGAGCAGTGCTATAGAGTAAATAGCAGCTAGGCATAACCATTACTTGGAATAGATGATGTACAGGGGAAATGCTTAGGCATTTAAGTAATAAAATCCTACAACTCAAACTGGAAATTGATAGCAACGAATAGTGTGGTAAAGAGAGAACAATGGACAAATGCGTAAGAAGGCAGATCCTGTTAATCTATCTGTCCCTGGGTTTCTGTGACTTGGTATAAATGTGCATGTTTGCTTCATATGTTGTCAGTGCATCAGATTTAAGTAACATTTTGGACTATTTTGCATAAGTGATGTCCCCATTAGGACAGTACTGTATCACAGTAACAAATTCACAATTTTAGCATTCCTGCTTGGATTCCACATTGAAGTTTGTCAGCCACATGACTTCCTTCCTTCATTCGTTTTGTCATTAGAGAAAATTAATTTTCTTGTGTTCTGGCTTTATCACTGTTAGACAAACAAACCGTCTGCTGGGTAGTGACTCACTGAAAGGAAATGAACATTCCTTCTTACTGCAAGGTGATATTAGTGACAAGAAATCCTCCCATGACTTTATCACTTACAATTCAGAGTTATGTGTGAAGTGCTGTAATGTATCCTATGATTATCTAAAAACACATTAGAAAACACTGAGAGAAGAGGATAGTTGTTTTTTAGGGCTTCTTTTGTATGTATGAAAACTGTTGGGGATCTGTTTCATATTTTTCAGAATTATTTAAACCTGAACCCAATACCCAGCCTGTCCCTGAGCAGCGATCCTGCCTCCTCGGCCAGCTCCCCCTATTACATATTGAGCATGACATTGTATGGTATGGAATATCCTTTTGGCTAGTTTGGGTCAGCTGTCCTGGCTGTGTCCCCTTCCAACTTCTTGGGAAAATTAACTACCCCAGCTGAAACCAGGACACAGTCATTCTTACTGCACCGGAGCTGCAAACCTCCCGTTGGATGGGACGTGACTGAGAGCTAAGGGGCGCTGTCAGAACACATTAACAAACCCATTTTTGCATTTCTGTCGTCATATCAAGATATCTTTGGCTCACTGTCTTTGGAAAGATCTAGTGTTTCAAAATCGTGGGTCAGAAAAATCCTGATAACTTTCATATTTTTGGCAACTACCTTTTAAGAGCAGTTAGGATTCATTCCGTAATATTTTTCATTCCATAATATTGTGGAAGGATACTCTACGAATACAACAGCTTTGATTTCTAATGAATATTAATGCTATCAAAGATTAATGACAACAGCTAGTTGTTTGGTTGGTGCCATAAGTTACCCAAACTGTGGGGACGGGATTTAAAGCAAACAAATTTTAAAAAAAGGGACCATTTTGGTTTTAGTCCATAATGTGGGGAAGTTGTCTATAACATTTACAAAAGGCCAAACTTCATCTCCATTTTCCTTGTATTCAAAAGCATCAGATGCAGAGGAGGCACTGGGGAGAAACAGCTTGTTCTTCATTACTGTCCTTCCACAATGTAACAGCCTACGGATGCATCTCAAAGTAGTAAGTAAAGCTTGGAGTGTTTCTCTAACCCGGCTCAATCTGAAAAAGAGCATCTGCCCAATGCCCAAGCTGTGAAACTACTCCAAAACCGTTCAGAACCTTAAAAGAGTTTTTGAACTAAAGAGGATGAGTAAGTGAAAACAGAATAGAAAGTTATTTGCACAATTGATGTTTATGTGCGACAAAGTGAATACAAGAGAACTGGAGAAATATTAGCAGAAAGTAGGTGATAAGAGCTGCTGCACTGGAGTAGTTCTTGTAAGTCTTTAATTTCTATGTAAATATTAGCTGTTTGATTTTTTTTTTTTTGTTTAGTTCAACATTATCTCTGATATGTACTTAATCCACAGTACAAAAAGTCAATGGAAAGCTTTACAGTGTCACAACTGTTGGTCAAGCCCCATATGTACTTTAACTAAATTCAGTTTAGAAAGTCAGCTAAATGTTGAAGACAGACTAGTTCTTTTCTCTGGTTGGGTAATAATTTTGGGGGGTAATGATTGGAGGAGGTGTTAATTTGTAGACATTCCACATTATCTCCAACAATTCTAAAGCATATGGCTTACTAAGACTTTTATAATTCTATGTAATATCAGAAAGTACAGAATAATTAACAAGAAATTAACTTATAGAACACCAGAAAGTAGTGAGGTAGACATTACTGGAAGGGCATGGAAATGAATTTGGCATGGAAATACACGTATTTGCAATCTACCTTAAATTCTATAAAGATTGGGCAACGTAAATTCAATGCAAAAGGTCACACAAAACTGAGAGTGATGCTAGCTACTATTTTATGGTATTGTTTTTATTCAACAAATGTAAATGTGTATTATTCATTAAATAAGTGTTGTGTTCCTTTGATATTGCTTTAGCATAACATGTACACTTAGTCTGGAGTTAGTGCAGAGTGTGGAGTTAGCACAGCGCGGTTAGTACAAATCAAGCCTGATCTTCATGTTTTTCTATAGCTAGCGTTGAGTTCAGAGAAGCCGTGGACTGACACAGACGTGGTCACTTAGGCACCTGGGTGTGTGGGCATGCTTTTCTGTGCCTATATTTTGCCAGCAGAGAAAGGAAGGAGTTGAGGGAAAGGAGATTCCAGGTATCAAAAGAAAAAAACCTAGAATTCTTTTTTTGAGATTTTACTTACTGTTTGCACATCCATCCAACTGGTAGTAATGCCTAACTGTTTTCTCGGTGAAAGATTTTTCTACTGAAAATGACACAGCTCTAGCAGACCACGTACAAAAAGGTTTTGAGACAGCTGACTAAAAGGCATGTGGAATCTGAATTTCCCAATTGCTTATAGTTACTAAAAAGCCCAATAACACTGCCAGTATGGTTCATCAGTTCAGACTGTGCAGATGTACCATGTTATGCTGTGGTACTTCTTAACCTGAGATGTTCATTGCTAAATTTGATGTCCAAAGGAGTGCAGCAATAGACAATGGAAGTGCTTTAGCAGAGGTGAAAAAGCGCGTTTCTCCTTCTCTTCCTTTGTTTACTAAATACTCTAAAAATATTGATCCTAGAGAAGAAATGTAGCCCTTCAGCATAAACATACTATTGGCTTGTGTTGCTGTTGAACCCTAAATACTTTAAGAACATTTCAAAACCAATGGTTTCTTCTCACCTTACCGTACAACCAGCCCTGTTTAGCAAGAGGTTGATCAGGCCTGAGCTGTCTGTCACTATCCCAACATTACAGGGCTCAGCTGCTAATAGAAGTCTTGGAATATACGCCAGAGGAAGCATATGGCTTTGTAAATCAGGGAAGAAATTATTTAGTAATAGAATTTTATTTAGAGATTCCTCATTAATTCTTTAAATCAGCTTTTGGTTACAAGTATTTGCTTAAGTTTATGCAACATAAATTGCATACAACTACAGCTCAAATTATTTCTTATGAATAAAATATTTGAACAAATATAGGCCTGTAATGTGTTTGCAGTTGATTTGTAGTCAGTTCATAATTTTTATGTCTGAGCTCATTTTTTGAACTTGTTTACTCATTTAGGTTAGAAGTGGGATTTTACATATCTCCAAGTATTTACTATGCAATTTTCAGGGTGTATGATTTATTGCTTGAGATGCTTTTTTCCTCTCCTTGAAAGTCTCTCTGGGCGTGCACCTGCCTAATAGCCTCCTGAAACATTTACTGTGTTTGAGTTTACTGTGCAGGTAATGGAAAGAGAAGGGTAAACTGATGAAAAACATTTCTCTGCTTATGCAAATATTAATTCATGCGGAAGTTGTGCTATCATCTAATAAACTCTTTTGTGTTCCTCCTATATGACAATGCATGTGCCTAAATATTCATGACTAAATAAATAATAATATGCATAATTGGCATTGTTCCCATTAAATAAGTAGAATGGACCACGAGAAATATTCCAGGAGGAAATAATTTTATTGCAATATCATGTTTTCTGAAACAGGAATATGTTTTTCAGATCAGTTTCTGAGAAGTTGCTGGAAATGCTGCTGTTTCTGGATGTGGCTGTCCTGGTGCAGCCTGCTCACCCTCACACTGGCCCTTTGGAGCTGGGGTGGACTCAGGTGCTGCTCTCATTTCTTCTGACTGATCTGTTTCCAATTACGGCGGCTTAAGTTTCTGCTCACCGCGCAACTCCTTGCTCGTTATTTGGTCGCCCAGAGTCTCCAGTCCCACACGTCCTTTGAGAGAGACGGCTCAGGGATGACAAGCCCATGAAAATGAAATGGCTGTTTTCTCTTTTGGCAGGATTTCAAGTCAGCGCAGGTCTGCAGGCTGGATGGGCACTGCCAGCTCTGCGGCCAAAGGGCTGCTCATCCTCCTCGTGAAGGAGAGCTGCCGTCCCTGCAGCCCCTGTCCTGGCATCAGAGCCCCATGGCTGCATCTAGGTGAGGCTCACCTTGTGCGAGACTTCAGATATTTCCAAGAGGTGTTGAGGCAAACAGCTTCGCCCTCTCAGAGGTGGGAGTGTAAGCGAAAAAGGGAACAGTAGGCTTTGGCTGGGAAGTGAGGCCTCATACATTGTGCTCTTACACCTGGTGTGCGTGGGCAAATGGTGCTGAAAAGAGGGCATTTTGACTTGCGTGTTTCTGTCCGTTTCAATCAATGAGTGCATGTGCTGTACAGGGGAAGGAGCAGCAATTAATATAGCACGTGCTTTGCCCCAAAGTGATATTAACTTGCAGTAACGCCACTTTAGCAAAAAGAGCAATCAAGTCATAACAGGCAGTCAGGGAGAGCTGAACATGGGGACGCTGTCCACGGCGAATGAACCACCGTTTAAGCTCCTCGCTACGAGCTTCAGACTCCATTTAGCTCAGGGCTGGGGCTGTGCAGTTACAAGCGCAGCAGAGCCTTCCTGGAGCAGTGCTAGCCCTGATGAGCACCGGTGTCACTCCACGTAAGATATGAAATCAAAAGCTGTGCAGCCCTTCAAAGCTTTCACCCTGTCTTCTCAAAAGGTACTTAGACAGAAATGTGCTCTGCTATTTTTATCTGTGCTCTGCTCAGTGCTGTCATGGCTGTGTTGACTTAGGTTCTGATGTGATTTTTCCAGTGCAATTTTCCTCTTATGGTGGAAAGATAAGCCAGTCCTTAACATGACTAGCTTAAAAAAAAAGTGTCTGTAAGGATACTGCCTATTAATATGCCTTGTAATTAATACAACCTGGACCTATGTTCAAGAAGCAGAATTTCTGTTAACCTCTTTGGCTGGTGGGAGTTCCCTCTCAATGAGAGTGAGGGGGAAAAGCCAAATGGTGGGGGCTCTGCAGCTCTACTCCCTAGCCCCTCTGGTGTCCAAGAAAAATGACTTGTGGATCAGTTTCCACGGATCAGTGGCCATCATCCTCTGTGAGGAGACTTAGTTGCCAGGACAACTGTTGCCAAGATAGACCGGTTTTCCTTGGGAACAATTTCAGTGTGTTATTTCTGTACAGCGAACCATCTCCTGTGTCTATTGTTAGACCCATGCAATAAGCTATTGGAGTTTTCCCTCCAGTAGGAAGGGAAAGCAAGTCTAATTACCAAGAGGGAGTTTGCAGTCCTACATAGATCTGCACAAAGTTTGTAGTCTATCAGACTGTACGTGCACTCTGGAAACATGAGCCCTGAAATCCAGTGTTGGAAGCCTCTTCAAGCCATGCGATCAAAATGAATTCCCAAGCTTACAATTCTCTTTTAAAAATATTTAGTTGGGAATAGGGATAGGGTCCTTAGGGATATTCTGTATTGTAGTACGTAGCTATAAGAGCTCTTTTGATTGAGTACTCTGGCCATGATCAACAGCCTGCATGTGCTGGAAGCAACACATTCCACCATCTCACCCGACCTGGGAAATGCTGGTGGTTTTTGGATGACTGACAGACCCTCAAAGGACGACTCTGTTCCCTTCGAAATTGCTGGTGAGTTTTAGATCAGCTGAAAAGATTGCCTTAGCTTCACTTTGTTAATGGTATATAGGCAACAGTCAAGAATCCCTCTTGTTACAGAGGCTTTTAAAGTTTATGGTGCAAAACTTTCTCATTCCTGTATTAGTCTCCAATTTTTTGCATGAAATACTTTTGGTTCACTTGGACAATGTCTTTGATTATTATATAATATTAGATAATATTCAACTGGTGGATGTAAGCTAGTTGAGTGGATAAGCTACTCTCCTGAGAAATACAAAGCAAACAAATTTAACACTGTCCTAGTTGTCCACCAGAGGTCACTTACAGGCCACTTTGTTCATTATTGGCTGTGCTTTCACTTGTCTAGTTACCATCTGGTGTTTCCCATATTAAGTGCTTTTGGATCAGCTGTGCAAACGCAGGTCCTGAATACCCTACTGATGACTTTGAATCTTTTGTAGAATCGTTATCATTATGAAACAAAAAGGCAAAATCCTGCTAAAACATAAGAAAAACCATGAAACAGTGTAGGGACTTTATTGGTTCCATAATCTCAGTAGGTAGCCTCAGTAACCACCCCATCCTTCGCAAGCTTTGCTGTGAATATTAAAGATTTTTCAGTGCAAACAGACTGTACCTGGTATTACTAAATCTATGTATGATTCTTATCTGGAATCTTACCTGCTCAATCTTCACAAAACGTTTGTCAATGTGCAATTTAATTGAGAAGCAAAATGTGTTTACAGGTTCTGATACTTCAACTGTATGAGAGTCTCAGCAGTTACACGCTAGAAGAGGCCTGTGCTTCACAAATTTTTGTTGCAACAGTAAGAAAACCCTTGAGAATTCTTTACTGACCAATCAATTGTCAAACGTGAACAACTCGTCCACTTTGGCAAAAGTGCCATTCTGCATCTTCTGTTGTAGCTAGACTGAAAAACTGGAAATCAGGGTGTTTTCTGAGCTCTTAAATATCAAGAAAAGGCCTGTCTTTGAAGCAGTCTGAACAGCAAATAACCCAAATCCATTCATGTTTCATTTACAGTGGATGAAAGAAAAGTAAAGGAAAAGAGCAAGAAGGTTCCTGTTCCTCCAAGATGAATGAAGGGCAGAAATTACCCTTTAGTCTATAGACCCCATCAGCCCAACAGTTAGATTATGTGCTCTGAACTTTGTATGAATGGCATTTATTGTTAGTTTCTGATGGCAAGATTTAGCCACTTCTTGCAGAGAGCAATATAGCACTGAACAGTTTGGCCCCCTACACCCCTGTAAGCATCAGTGTATTTTTTTGTTTGATTCAGTTGAGTAAATATCAAGGTGTAAACTGTGGTTATATTTTGAAGCATTGTAATTTATCTTTGTACGTGGGTATGCTGGAGCAGAAAAACACCCTGTGAAATCCTCTGTCTCTCTAGCTCCTTAATTCTTCTGGTACTGGGACAAGATTGTAGCTGCTCTCAAATATAAAGGTGTAATTATGTCATGATTTTACACTGTGCTTAGTTTTCCAGTTGCACTAAGCAATGCATTCTTTTCAGAAGTCAAATGGAAAGCTGGACGAAAAGCGGCCTGGTGGCTGGATAAACACTTTTCATGAGTGATGGATGGCCCGTACACAGATACACTACAAACGTATAAGGTAAATTCCCTTAAATCTCAATGAAGGTGAAGACAGAAGTTGTTTGACTTTATAGTCAAGCTTTTACAATGTAGGTAAAGCAGAATAGCTGGCTAGGGAAGGTGAGAATGGCATCTTGATGTTATCTTCTTTGTGAATCTCATGCTTTTAAAGCTCTGATCTCTTTTAGCTCAGGTGACAGGAAGCTGAGTCAGCAAGTTTTCAAAAGAGGAGGAGAAACTTGGTACGTGTGTTCTTAATAGTCATTATCCTGAGTGAGGGATGCTGTGTGAATTGTGAACTTTGTCTGAATCTCAAACAGAACTTCCTCTGCGTTAAGAAGGTTGTTTGGGTTTTTTTGGTCTGGTCTGCTTCAGAACTGTCTCACTCTCTTATCGCTTCTGTAAAGATGATATGTTCGGTCTTGCAAACTCCAAAGTACAGACTCAGTGCTTCTGCAGTGTCTGTTTTTAATAAGAAACAGGAATAGGTTTTGGTTTATAAACTTAAGTCCAGACCAATATGCAGTCACGTAAATTTTGAGGGAGGGGAAGGTGGTACAAAATCCCGTTTTGTTCCTAGTTTGTCAGCTATCTGGCCTAGAACAGAAAAATAAAGACTATCTGCCTCTCATTAATGTGCACTGGAAACATGCTGAGATCTGCTTGTTTAGGTCTTTATTTTTATACATAGACATGAACTCAGAGTATTATACATGCTGATGCTTATGCTGTCTCATTTCTACCATGAATGAAGGGTGAGACTCTGTAATAATAATTACCGTATTATTCCTATTCCTACTTCTCTGTGTTAGTACTATGGCACTGTTCTGGTGTGTCCTGCTATATACATTCCCTCCTCTCTGACGAGCAGTTGATACTTTTACATTGCTCTTAATACATAGAGTGGACACGGGACGTGCAAAGATTTTATCATTAATGGGGGTTGGCTCAGGGTACTAGCCCAAAGCAGGAAGGAACTGTTCATCTGCATAGTCTCTGTGGCAAGCTGACAAGTGAAAAGAAATAGATGAACACCTTCAGCTCTGCTCCATCCTTCTTACTGTGCAGAAGTATGGATGCATGGTAGGTTACACAGGCAAGGGATAAATCACTACTAATTCAGAAGAAAAAGATCCTGCACAGGACAGCTTCCACTTTATATTCTTCTAAGAGCTCTAATTAAACTCACTGTATGAGCACCTATTAAGAATGGTGCTCCATAATGCCTGGTCTGAGGTTTTTCTGAAACAAGGTTATTCCTAGGGTTTTGTTCTTCAAAATTCTTTAATCCTGACTCTAGTTGTCTCAATGAAAAGTTTGAAATACTTTGTAAACTCCTGGTTTGGGGATAAGAGCGCACTGTTGGTCTGACATCAAAGTGAATCAATGAGCGAGCTGTGCATTTCTATCCACTGCTTTAGCCAATATATTCTTTTGCAAGTGTCTAGAAGCTGTCACCCTGCTATGCTGTGTTGAAAATAATTGGATATAGTTCCCACTTCTGCTATTCCCATTTGATACTGCTGCTAGTGAAGAAAACTCAAAACTGATGGCTCCAAAGGCAAGTTTGAAACTTCAAAAGCCAAGTGTTCTCACATGCTGAGCTGCTTGCTTCTCCAAGGAAATCTGCAGAGAGCTGTGCCATGTATCAAAGAGCAGCCAGACATAAGACTGCTCCCCCAAATGAAGGATATGCAGAAAGAAGGTACGTTCAAGGATCTAAATAGTGAGGAACTCAGCACACAAACAGGGAATCGGGAGAACCAAATAATTCTGGAGGAAGGGAAGGCTGTATAGAAATAAGGAGATAGAATATGAAATTACAAATCCAGCAAAGACATTTAATAATTTGTGAATGCTAAGCCACCTCCCTTGTTATTTTTATTTGTCACTTGATGCAGGAATTTACAATAGTCCTGGAGGTTTGGATGTCGCATATAAATGTGCTGGTTTTGCCACAGCTTTGTAAAATTTCTACTGCGTGATAAACTATGTTTCAGCACGATGGTGTCCTGACCTGGAGAGAAGCGTGGGGTCCAGAAATTGCCGAGAACCATATCTGCTTCATCCCTCTGCTTTTGCAGGCAAGCAGCCTTCAGGGAAGTTCAACAGACATTTAACAAATGAGACATTTTTGTTGGTTAGAAGGTTACAAGATGAGCCCTGAATGTCGTGTGTTGACAGCATTACAGATATTACGTTTGGCTCTTGGCCAAACTAGGAACGATGTGTGTGGAAATTTCGGTTTCCTATTTAAAAAAATTAATTACAAATCTCTGTTTAATGATGTTGACTCTACAATGTTTTTATCAAATCATAGCTGACAAATAGCATTGCTCTGAACTAATGTTTTCTTTTTTTTTTTTTTTGACTCAGACTAAATTTATTTGCCGCCACCTCATCAGAGAACAGCAGCCCCAGAAATAGGACCTTAGGAACAAATTCACTCCTGACACTGCTGCTGGAGAGTTTGAGTTGGTTTTTGTAGCTGGAGGAGTCTAACACACCTTCCTCTGGGTAAGAAAATTTTCTGCAAGCAGAATTGCCCAAGACATCTCTTTCTCAGCATTATAGTTTATGTTGCTAATTTTGCAGAGCTACGTGTGGCAGTATCCCACACACTATTCTTGCAACTGTTCTTTTCATGTCCACAAAATGGTACCACAGCTAGCTGGCCAGTGCACGCTCTATTGAGAAGTTTATTCTAATCACTAACTGTATCACTAGCGTTATAGGAAGGCAAGTAGTAAGTGATCTACTTAAAAGTTTAAAAATATATTCCTTCACCCCATGTTGTTTTTCCACATCCCACATCCCATTTTTAAACATAAATAGGTATGTTTGAGTTGGTCAAGTTTTTTCCAGGGATAATTCAGAGTACGTTGCAGGAAGGGCAGTCACTGCAGTCAAGCAAACCTCAAATATCCTTCCCTCTCCTAGGTTATTAAAATACGAATCCATTGACTGAATAAAGAGGAGAAACTTTATAGTCAAAACTTTCAGTGCCTGCAGTTGTTCTGATTTTTTGGTTGGTTGTTTGTACTGTAACACAGCCAATGTCTGTCCAAGGCCAGGCAAAGAGCAAAGGGCTCACTCCCAGAATGTCATATGTAGTACCTGTAAATAGGGGTGGTAAGATTGAGGTAGGCGATCATTAGGATTGTGCAAGACAGAGATAAGCCAGTAAGCAACCTCTTCCCAAAATAAAGCACAAAATTACAGCTTTTAGTAGAAATGTAGGGGATTTTTTTTTCTTTCTCTTGGCAGGCTCGTTGTCATGGTAAAAAACCAGCAGGTTTCTGTTCCGTTTCTTCTCTACTACATTCTGTTGTGCTGGCTGTCAGGGAAGCCAGTGGTGCGATAAGAGTTTCACTGTATATTGATCAAGTAAAGGTGTTGGTAAGTAAAGATCTCTTTTGCCATGATAAGTATTTGACCATACTGAGGCCATGCAACCCTTGCAGGTGCAGACATGCTGGTTAGAAAGGACTTTTGTAGGCTGCCCTACTGGAGCAGCAAGCTGATGAGGAGGACTGTTAGCAGTATGTAATGTCAGTTTAATAGCATTCTGTCCCTGAGTGTTCTCTGTATAAATGTAATATCTGCTTTTGAGGAGCAGTTTTCCTAGTATTTGACTTCAATAGGGCTGTCCTGTACTGTCAGACTCTCAGGTTTCGGGCTAATGACTCAGAGCTGTCACCTCCAAGACTAGGTCTGGAACAAGGGCTCCCCGCTGCCTCTTCCAGGATCCCTTCCCTGCTGTTACCTGTATTGGGTGAATCATGTCCTAAAGCTCTTTTTATGGAGGAACAAAAGAATTCCCTGAGATCTATGTTTTTAAGTAGGACCTCTAGAACTAGCTACCTCTTAAATATAAAAGTTTCATGGCATCCTTCAAGGCCTAATTCTGATCACTGCTGAGAACGTCAGCAACTGCATAAGCCTTGGGACCTGAGGACTGTCGTTACATCCACACTTAGTGTGATTCTGCATGTGGATTCTCCATCTTCTCTAATTATAAATATGGATTGCCAAACCTGTCTTTTCTATTTCAGCTCCCTAAGATTTACTCCATGTTTGTGAGAAATTTGGAACATTTTGCTTTTTTAATCTTTTTTTGTTGGTGCAAACTATCATTAAGCTCTTTGGGAGCTGAATTCATTTCTAGGAAACCCTGCCACCAATTTGCCAAAGGTAAACAGGCACTTCAGCTCTCCTAGAATAAAGGTTTGGGTTCGTCAGCTTGGAAAACTTTGGAGGTAAATAAATCTTAGCTCCTGGGAGGCAAAACCAACAAAAGTTTGCATAAGGTTGAATCTCTGTAGGGAGGGGACTTCTCTGAGAGCTTAACATTTTGTTTTCAAGATTTCTTTTATTGGGCCGTCATTTTGAGCTTTGTCTTGCCGCCTTCATGGGAGACAGCACCAATGTCAACTTCCCTGGTACCAGATAATTAACATAATGTAAAAATTCAGCAGAAGGAAATCCTCAGAGAGCTGCTAAGAACTGGCTTGAGTCCGTGAAGCTGGATAAGAAATATAAACCAGGATTCAAGTTTTGTTATAGTAGTTAGCTAAATACTTTTCCTTATTTTATTTTGGTGTATGCCATTGCCCCAGATTTTGATGTGTGCCTAATGGGGGAAGTACAAAGTATGTAGAAAAGTGGTGGTGCTTAAGTTCTCCCTTTTAGCCTAATGATAATGTTCTCACAGTAATATGCTAGTGATTATACTTTATATTGTACTTCATCAGATGAAACATGACAGAGGAAGCTGCTCTCTGTGGGTAATCTTTTCTGAAGCTTAAAATAAAGAGAACTAATTGAGGTGACTAGCAAATTTCACTCTGGATTTGATTTTCTCTCCTTACCCCAGTCTGTCAACCAAATGGTGCTTCCTTAGGCTTGGCTTTCATTTTGCCTGGTAAAACTGGGAGAAAATAAGGCAAATTGACTTTTGTATGTGCCCTATTTACTATAAAAGTTTGTCAGCTCATGTTTATGGTAGTTTCATTTTGGGTTTTTTTCAGTTAAACACAGAATACGTGGGACCGTGATTGCCTCAAATTTGGCCCTCGTTAAAATCAAGGACAATTACTGTGGTGCAACTTGTCAGAACATCGCACAGAGCTTTACCTTAGGATGTTACTGCCTGTTACTGTTGTTCTGGTCAGAGAGAGCAGCAAAGTACTGCAGATTTGGGATCCAAGAGGACTTTGGCTCTGAGGTGTAATACTCAGGAAGAGGTATGTATGTATCTTATTAATATACAAGGTCTGAAAGGAGAAATTGGGAGGCAATGAGATCATTACTACTTAAATGCACTTAAGCTTTTTGTCCTTCAAGCTGCGGATGTTTGCTAGTAGTAGAGATGCTATCAAGAGAAACAGCTTAATCACTCTAAGCTTAGACGTACTGCAATCCTGAATGACTGTGGAAAGAAAAGTCCCAGCAGAAACACAATAGTTGGGGAATTCAATTTAGCAATATTGGTTTTTTGACACCGATAGAATGAATCATATAATGGTTTGGGTTGGAAAAGACCTTAAAGATCATCTAGCTCCAACCCACCTGCCATGGGCAAGAACACCTTTGACTAGGTCGCTCAAAGCCCCATCCAGACTGGCTTGTCATCCTGTTAGTCTTGTTTCATGCCTTCTTCATTCTCTCATTTTTGTCTTTTTACTTGTCTCCTTTCCTTCTGCCCCATTAACCTTTTGTAGGCTCTGCACAATTTCAGGAAGCTGAAAATGCTTTTTGCATTTATAATGCTACTCTAGATACTTGGCTTTTAATAAATAAAAAAATACAATACATTTTCACAGCAGCCCATAAAACAGAGATGTAATGAGATTTTAATCTGATTGTACCGTTTGTACTCTGAATCACTTGCAGAGTTTCCTACGATACCCTGCTAAATGATTATTGCTTTTTCTTTCCAGGGGCCAGCTCTCAAAACCAGAAATCATGCTTGCTAGAGTTGGCTACTAATCTGATGGTCAAAGCTTGATTGCTTCATACTCAGAAATTCCCAACAACAGAATTCCCCCGAGGCATTTTTTGTCAGTTAGGTAACTTTTTTCATGCACTGCTGCGAAGAGCAAATAGATCAGCAAGTGCTTTTTGTCGTGTGGTAGAACCAAGTCACCTGATCTCCCAAGTTGCCAAATCATAATTTCTGTCCAAACACTTAATAAGTACATATCAAATTGTGTACTTTCTTACCGTATCCCGTCTGTGTTATCATGTGTATACCACACAGCTTAGATAACTGCTTTTCAACCTCCAAGCAAGCTCCCATCATTATCAATACCACTCTATATGAACTATGACAAAAATTTCAGTGGCATATATTGATATATTCAGACGTTTTCTGGTCCGGATATCCTCAGTATGCCCTCTGCAATTTCATGGTTGAAATAAGTAAAGCCAGTGCTATCTGTTTCAACAAACTGCTTCAGAGATATCCTTAATCTTATGATTTAGCTCATTTTCTAGATCATATACTGTGATGTGTGATTGGATTACAGCTGAAGTATATTGCTTTCTGGTTTTAGAGCACGTGTATCTCTGCAATAATATGAGATACATATTGAGACAGCATTTGAGACAGCATTTATTTCATTGGATTTTCAGTGTCCCATAAGTAGATGTAGTAAAGAATTATTCATCAAAGTAATGTGTTTCCTAGCAAATGAAGCTTTCCACAAGAACAATTCAATTTTCCTGAGATGTTTTTATTTTGGGGGGAGGGAAGAGTCAGTGTTTGGTACTCTCTCTAAGCACTAAGAAACCATAGTGGGAGAAAAACTTAGAAAACATTTAAACAATTTTATTTTTAATCAAACCGTAGGACAAGGATTGAGAGATCTACAGGGTCTTCCTGGAAAAGCAGGACCTCCAGGAATAAAAGAAGATTTAGGACCACAAGGAGAGAAGGTAGAAAAAGGAAAATGTGGAAGTAAGAAATTTGTCATGTTTATATTATCTGGTTTTCAACCTTTAAGTGTATTTTCCAAAAATATTTTTGTGTTAATGTCTGGCATTCTTATAACATCATTTGAGGAAAGGTGTGATTTCCAGAAGTGTGAGGAGCAGAAGGATAAACCGTCTGTTAGATAGGAGATGAATTGACCAACATAAATGGGGGAAAAATGTGTCTGTAATGAGTCACTAGTTTATTGTTGTCTGTGATTGAAAAAGCAAAGCCTCTATCTCATATTACAAACAGAATCTTTCATTCTTTGCCTGTTTATGTGTGGTTTACTTCAATTTTAATTCATTTAAAAAATGTTTACATGTGTGTTTTGCCTTTGAGAACTGGGCTTTTCCCTCTGATGACTTTGGCAGCCCTGAGAATTCAAAGCCCACCCAAATATTCATCCCGGTCATGGATGATACGGCTCTCCCAGTGGGACAAATTCCTGTGGAACAGATCTGCAATGCGGCCTATGGTTTCTGCTCTGGAAACCAAATAGCAATCTCACATGGCATCAGGTTACAGGAGATCTCCTCAGCATCTTTGGGACAGTTGTTGTGTAGTCATTTTAATATAATTACTAAATAACACCCTTAACTCCTAGGTGTAGTAACTGATGACCTGCAGAGACAAGTAACTGCTTTGGAAACAGAAGTAAAGATTTTGAATTAGACACATATGAAAATGTAAGGTACAATTGTTGATTAGTTTTCTTTCTGGCCTGGTAAAATGATGGGTGTGCTTGTGCTGGAGAAGGGACTGAAAACAGTAGGTTGAAGCAAATATTACAAATTTCTCTTGTGTTGCTCATGGGAGATGGTCAATAATTAAATGCTGTTTCACTGAATGCATTCTTCCTGAACTGACCTGCCAAACTTTAAGGATCATTTTGCCAACATACAGGGCAGGGGCTTTGTTACATGGCCTGTGGGATCAGCTACTGTTCCCTGGGTGCTTGTGCTTTAAGCACTGCATTGCATTTCTCTTACTGCCTTGGTTCTAGATAGTTTTCTCTGAGTAGACGTGGATTGGGATGCTGTCTGCCTGGGCTTGGCTGCAAGTAATTTCTCCAGAGACTGTGTGAAATCTTTCAAAGAATGTTTTATCAGTGCACTACTAGCCCTGGTACAAATGCCACATTAGGAAAAGCACAAGGTCCATCATTGTTCTTAAATTAACTTGGGAGGAAATGACACAGGCTGCAATTTGCCACATCGTGAGCATCAGCAGAATAGAGTCACGTAGCTCCGCACCGCCCGCTGGCCATCCTTCCAAGGGGGTGTCTTCCCTGGAGAAAGCACAACTCTGAAGCCATAGTTTTGTGCAAAGCCTGGAAGTAACCTGAAACTGGGGCAAGAAATTGCAGAGCGCAGAGAAGCTGGTAGCACTAATCTCTTCAGCCATCTTCCTTTTGTCCTCCTGTGCTTGTAGAAAAGGGTGTCTGAAACTGTTGTGGAGGTTTTACCTGGCACAGAAGCGTAGCGGGGGTTCCCTGCCCACAAGAGCATTGTGCTGGTGCCATTCCCACGTCATCAGGGGAGAATTTCACTGTGCATATGTCCCAGTTTTTGTATTGTTAGAAGGTGGTAGACTCCTTTCATACTAATCCCAGAAACCTATTAAAGACAATATGATAAAATAACTTGCCTGTTAAAGACAGCAACTGTGTTTCAAAAGAATTGTTGCTAGCAGTTTTATCTACTAAATGAACAAGAACTTCACTTTCCATTGCCTTTTCATGAAAGCCTGTCAAGGATGTCAGCCATGTATTCCTACTTCTCCTAAGATAGTGTATGTTTTCTGGAGAAATACTCAGTTTCCCAGGCTCGCTAAAGCTGTCCCTGTCTCCTCTTTCTGCCCTGTTGCTTTGAACTCTGAATTTCGTTACAGTCCCTCACATTTTGGTTTCTGCGATAAAGCTGATGGGTATAGAATATCAGCCAATTGCAGCTCAGTTCCTTTATATGATTTTAATTGATCTGTGATTTTTGCATCGAAACCTGGCAAGCTATTTTGTCATGCTTACAATTTGACTGTGAATTACCTTCAGACTCTGATTCAAGAGCTGTAATATTATATGAACTGGAAATGAAAAACATTAGAATAACGCTTAGAATCACACTTTCTTGTGAAATTCCAGTTTTCGTGAAGTATGGGCTTGATATTTCCAGGTGTCTATTTTGTTTGACTTCTATTGGATTCTGCCTACTACTTCATCAAATAGTCTTTTTATAGCTGGTATTAGTTACTTCTAAAGTACAATTGTGGCATGGATAAATAGCATGATCAATTTTTGGTATAATACAATTATGTTAACTTTTGTTTCTAGCTTTGGTTCTAGAGAGCATCACGAGTATTGGTGAAAAATGTTTGTCTCAACTGGAAAAGAAGATACTTTTGACAATGGAAAATCCCTTTGTGCAGAAGCTGGAAGTGCACCTGCATCTCCTGGGAATGAGGCTGAGAATACAGCTTTAAAAGACTGAATAAGACCTTCAAAGCAGGCTTATACAGGAATATCTGATGAACTGACTGAAGGCAGGTTCATGTATTTGAATGGAGGGGCTGTAACTTACACAAACTGGAATGCTGGAGAACCAAATAATCTAAACAATGAAGACTGCACAGTAATACAAGACTCTGGAAAATGGAATGACATTAATTGTTCAAATTCACATACCTTAATTATTTGTGAATTCTTGAGCTGATGATTCTATGAAAACCCCAATTTTTTGCTCTCAGTTACGTGGTTGACATAGAAGTTTGTTCCCATAAAGGTGGCCTGAAATAACCAGAACCAGAGTGTATTTATAATTATAATTTTCTTGTTGACATTCAGTTTTGAATCTCCTAAGAAAATACAGATCTAATTTTTTCAATCATTATGAATTAAATTGTCTTTATTATAGTGGTAGTAAGTCTAATAAGTTATGGCAGGCTGGTTGTTTATACCTTCCTATGAGTTCCTCATAAATGCAGCATGAGGGAGTCATTTTTTAATAATCTTAAAGCTAATGAAAAAATTTTATATGTTCTCTCTTTGAGCTGAGCTGTAGACTTGGAGACATTATTCTCCATGTGTTGCTTCTAATACGTTCTTTTATCATGTAAAAAATGGACTGTGCACACAGTCCTATGTTATTTTGGTGTTTAGTGATGGCTTTGCTCCTAGTGCACTTTTACTCTAGTTCTAAAATTGACTAATAATGATCCCTTAGAGCCTAGAGTGATATTTGTTGTCTAGGTACAGAAGTCCATTGCACACAAGTGATTACTGACGTGCAAATAATTTATTTTTTGAAGTTTTGGCTATTTTCATGCTATTTTTTCCATGTGATAGGAAAATGAAATGTGCTGTAACAACAGAGGAATAAACCAGTAAAGCTCCCAGCCAGGATGCTTTGTGTGCAGTAGAGCAATCACAAGAGAACAAGATCATCTTTTTTTGGCAATCTATAGGCATCATTTGAAGTACAGGAGATGTAGATTCAGATTTAAATGCAGTGGAAAGCAGAAAATTTTTGTCTAAAATTAAACACAAGAGCCTACTGGTGAAAAATACTCCAAGTGGAATTTAGCTCATGCAGAAAAACAGAAAAAGATCTTATTTATGTGAATAGGTCATTGATGTGAGAGAATTGATACCATAGTCTTTTATGATTTTCTCAATGGGAGCTTTTTTCACCTCAAGTGAACTATAAAAAGGTGAACTACAGACTGGATTAACTAAGAACAGGTGAATACTATGACAACAAAGCCCAATTTCAACAATTAAGAAAAATGTTTATATGCAGGCTTTAAGTTTTTGACCATGGAAGAATAGAAGATTTTTAATTCCTCTTCCACTTAGCTTGAGACATGTAAGCTAAGTTCCTCTATGGAGAGAAGGACTATGTCTACACTGGCAAGTTATGTGGACCCATGGGAACACAGGAACGTGTTTGTACAGGGGGCATTTGGCGGCCAGCTCATCTCTTTTATAGCTGCTGTTTTCATTGCCTAATTCCACATCTATCTTTTTAAGTAATGACATTTCTCTGCACCAGGTTATATAGGTACAGCAAAAAAGCAATTACTGAAATTGGTGAAAAGTATGAATTTTCTAGAGTATGATTTATCTGCTGATCTGCATCGCGTTCTCCTTATTACTGGCAACGTATCTTGGCAGTTCTCAAGTGAACTGCGTTCCTTTTATTCATTAATCAGTGTCCTGCAGCTATGAAAACAAGAACTTTTTAAATTTGGCTGGGAGTTTTTGATCAATATTTATTATATGAAAACACAGAATATGGTACAATATTTAAAAGACAAATTTGGGTTAATTTAGGATAAGAAAGAGACATTCTAGAGAGTAGGTGCAATCCTGTTGTTCTTCTAGGTTTTTAGGGATCATTGGTAATTCAGTCTCCAATGCATATATTTGAAATGATTATGTAAGTCTACTTTGTCTCCAGAAAACACTGTGGTATGTTTTGTGACCATTTCATTTGGAGCTAGACTAAGGGCAATGATGTATTATGCTCCCAGTGTGCCAGCCAGTAGGTTACGATGACTAAACTGCTGATTTTAAAAAGATTTGGAGTAGAATTTTGCAGATGTGAATGGTGTGTTCTTTCAACGAATTTTTATTTTTTTTTAGAAATACTATTCCTAATTGCCATGTCAGTCACTCAAAAGTCCGGCTCTGAAATGTTATTTAGACTGATTTTACATGATTTTGCTCAGCGAATCTCCAATATTGTTGTTAGAAATTTATGAAGCTTCTTGTAACCTTACGTTAAGATTGTTTGTGTTCGGAGAGCGCTATGCATCGTTATGATGAGATCTATACAAACTGCCAAACTGTTTGCAGGTAAGTGCAAAGATATTCTTATGCTAAAATCATGGGGAGCTCACAAAAGCAGAATGGGAGAACATTCATATCATATGATGAGTTTCATACAGTCCAAAGTTATCAGGTAATTAACTTTTTTACCAGGCTGTGTACATGAAAGGTGTATTTGGCCCCAGCAACTATGGTGTAAACAGCAAATCTGAGCTGCATTTCTTGAATCTGCTTGAAGTAAACACCCAGTCAGCTCATCTCTTGGGTCCCTAAGCTCTCAGGCTTCAGTCTGGTATCACTTCTCCTGTTCCCAGCATTCCCTGTCTTGTTGGCTGACCCTGGTGTTAACTGTCTCAAGGAAAATGGTTCCCCAGCTGAAACACCTCCTGTGCAGAAGGGAAGCCGCTAGCTTCCCTTCCTTTCTAGAAAACAAAACTCTGCTCCTTATTAGACTGATGATAATCCATTTCTGGTGCGTTTACCCTAGAAATGCAGGTGTGTAAATAAAAGTATAGCTCTATTAGTCTGGGCTTACCAGTAAACTTTCCCTGCTCTGAATTGTTGCTCAGAAGAGCAGAGTAGCAGTGCTGAAATCTGTGAGCTTTGGCAGGCCGTTGCGTGAGAGCAGGCTGATCTTCTCAGACTGGACAAAAGTCCACAGGGCAGGAACAATACCTGGAAATAGAAAATGAGCTTTTATTAAGTCCTATTACTTGAAACTTTTAACCTCGGCTAGGTACTGTCAGATGTGCCCTAAATTCTAATCTTTCTCACCATGTATGTTAGGGACACCTTTCTTCAGTAGGTGCTGAAAAAGAGAGGAAAAAGTTTGAAATTGTGTTCTATTATCTTCTAAGAGGCTTAAATCAGCATCCCTGATGACCACTTAATTTTGCGTTAATTGTAAACTAACCCATATTTGCTGTTATACCCCTGATTAGAACCATCTAATTTGGTGCCAATATGACCTCTGCAGAGCTTCAGAGTAATTCAGGATGAGAGCAACATTTGTTAATCGGCTGCTAGGTTTATCTTTCTACACCATAGTACAATTTCAGGTTAAGTACAGGCTTAGGAAGAGCTACCCTGTCAGATGTGAAAACACATAATCGCTGAAAATCTCTTTTCCTTCTCTTTATTTTTCAAGTGGCAGTTTTCAGTGGGAACAACAAGGTGGAAAGGGTTATTTCAATCAGTAGCAACTTGTGCTTACTGCTTTATTTTTTAATTGTAACACATAAATATGGGGGAAAGGGGTGGTTGACTTAGGCTCATAGGAGAAACGTGCCCTTCGTTCTGGCTTGTTTCCTGTTATAGAAGGCGGCATCACCCTCTTGTGTGAAACGTGCAGAGGAGAAGTGTTATGCAGGGAAGTCTGTGGTTTTGACGCTACCAAAGTGGCTCTACCCTTTGGCCTAGCACCTGCAGGCATAAGGAAAGAACAATAATTCCTGGGTTGTAGTTTGGCCAATAGCGCCCAGGAGAAGAAATAATGCAGGATGAGAACCTGGAAATGTAGGTGCAGTCTCATGCCTCTTCAAAGCTCTCTGCCAAACCTGTCAGCACTAGCAGCGTGACTGGATCATCTGTGTTATCTTTAAGAAATTAATTTATCCCGAGGCACCTGCAGTTAACATCTCTTTTTATGGTCTGTGACCCTAGTGATGTTTCAGACATTGGTAGCTTGAGCTGTTTAGATCAGTGCTTCAGGGTAGACAGTTGCGAGAGCATTTTCCTGGCAGTCTGTGTACTCTGGTTTATGTCTTCAACTGACAGCACAGTTTGTCCCACAGAGCTGAGCTTCTGCCTTAATCCTGCGAAGAAGCTTCTGGCAACTTTGCAGGGGGAGGAGGACTCTACAATGTGTAAAAGTGGTTGGCATCCTCTTCCAGGGTGTTTAAATACAGATAAAACTTAAAGCAGTTGGACTAAGTATATAGAATGTGAGAGCAGTAGTCAACCCACATTTAGGTGTCTGGTTTCAGAGAGTCCGAGTGTGCTAATGCTGGGCTTCGTGGAGATGGGTCTCAGCGGTACAGCAGACAATTTCAGTGTTTCATTGCCGCCTTAACAGAAGATACTACTACAGAGCTGCAAAAAATGCGTCAGTATGTATATTGTCTCACAATGTTCAAAACCCCAAACCCTGTGTGTTGCTTGGCCTTAGTTTGGTCTCTTGTTTACTCCGTTGTTTGCATACTCACTGCAACTGTATCATGATGATTGTACTTGTACATGAATTGCTTGTGCTTGAACTCGTTTCAGAGATGTGCCGACAGCAGTGAGAGGGGGAAGGAGGATTAAACCATCTGGTCCCGCTGCCTTGTTGCAGCTTTCCCCGTCAGGTTTTCTGCGCTCTCTTGGAAGAGGTCTGGACAGCATCTCTCTCCCTTCCTCTCATCTGCACTGTTGGGCTACAAATCTTGGCCACCATTGTCTTGTGCTAGAGACATGTACAAAAAAAGGCTCTATGGAACCTTCCCCCCTTCACCAAGAATTATTCCCAAGCATGTTTTTGATTCAAACTTTGGTTTTGATACAACAAGGGAAGCTAAACTACTTCATGGAGTCACAGAATCGCAGAACAGTGGGGTTTGGAAGGAACCTCTGGAGATCTAGTCCAACCCCCTGCTAAAGCACGATCACCTAGAGCAGATTGCGCAGGATTGTGTCCAGGTGGGTTTTGAATATCTCCAGAGACGGAGACTCCACAACCTCCAGCTGCTTTAACTGAAACGGGCACAGAGTTTCACCAAATTTAGTTGGAAATCCTGAAACCTCTTAAGCAACGTCATGATGATTGTTACTGTCTTGATTATCTCCCACCTTGCACTTTATGGATCCAATGACAACTGCGCAAGGGTGTCCCACTCAGAAGTGGTTTGATCAATCCTACTTTGCTTACAGATCACAACCTTTTAACCCCTCTGTCCTCTTATGCCCTCTCCACTCTGCTTAAGCAGCTGTATGCATTCACAGAAGGAAGGTAAAGAGGGTGAAGATAAGAAAAGAGAAAGGCAAGAGGAAGAAGTGATGTATTTTTAAACCTTTTTACCTCTTCATCTTTTATTATAAGGAGTTACAGCTAAACTGAAAAACATAATGTACTTCCTAAGCCTGCTAAGTAGATCTTTTATTTGTGCATCAAAAACTAGTAAAGCAAATATTATCTTAAAGCCTCAGATTGCCCTCCATGTGCTGTTATTTTCTAGGACCTGGTATTTAGCTTAAAGCTGCAATCGCCAGCATCTGGAGAATCTCAGTTTTCATTTTCAAGACTAAAGTGCACTTCTAGATTTTGTGACTAATGGTGAAAAAAGTTTAAAGGCTTTCAACTGGAAAGTTCTGCAAACAAAGTGAAAAGGTTTGTTTCTTTTTAATCTCATGTTTTAAAGTCTGTCTTAAAGCAGAACTTGTATTTTTAACAAATGGGGATTAAGTGTCGGGACTCTGTATGGCAAGAAAAGTTGTCAGTTCATCACACAATAGCAATTGTAACAGCTATTTAAGAAACGTTTCAAATGTTGTCTACAACACTTAAGTGTATTATATATCACTTCACTGAAAATCGTATGCTGCACTCTGTCTTGGGTTAGTGGGAGCTCTCCCGTGGTTTTGAATGCCGCAGTCCTGACGTTTATCTTTGTCAAATGCTCTCAGAATAATTCTGAATTTGGCCTTTATTCTGGCAAATTGTGTGAGTTGTTGGAAAGCATAACAGTTTACATCGTTTATCTCTGTTACAGTGGCACAGTATGTTACTCTGGAAAGGTAAAAGGACATAAAAAATGGAAGTTACTGGACAGCTGAGAAATGCAATGTACCATTTGCGTGGTAACACTGGTACTGAAACTGTCAGGAGCACAATTGTTCTCTGCAGTGTTTGAAAACTAATTTTTTTTTATTTATTTATTTATTTATTTTTAAATCCACTTCAGTTTTAGATGTTTGTCCAAGATAACAGTGGATACGGACTGGCCTTGTGCAAGGGGCACTCTGTGTACTCAGCAGGCTGAGCTCTACCCAGGGCTGGGCACGTCTGAAAAGGCACAGAAAGGAAAAAAACCATGTTACGCTTATTTTCTAGCTTGAACCCCTGAGACAGTCTGGTAATGCCGACACTACTTTAAAAAATAAGCTTATTTGAAGCGCTCTTGTGTAGATTCCCACTCCTGACAAACAAGCTTATTCCTGCCTGCCAGCTGCTGATGTTCCAGGCGTGTCTCTGGCATAGCCCATTCCCTCACAAACTAGAGGTTTTAAGATATCCCAGCCCACTTTTATAGAGGGAATGCTACAACCCGCTTCCCTCTCATGAATATAGACAAGAATATTCAGAGAACAGGCAAGTATATGACTGGCGATGATGTGAGAAACCACTGAGGCCTTTGGGAGATGGGAGAAAGGCAGGAAAAGGAAAATACTATTAGCAGGACAACAGCTACAGCTGCTCCAGTGTTTTAGCATTCTTATCTGAGGCTATTGGTCTAGACCTTTAGGTAAACTTCACTGTACGTGTGGCATGTGAGCTACACTGATGTGGAAAGGCTTGGTTTAATTCAGTACTTGTTTGGAAGCTCATGTCTCTGCTAAAATGAATGGAAAAAACCAGTAAACAAAAAGGGTACCAGCAGTGGTGCTGCTGTTTATGTTTCCAGAACAGTGGGGATAGGCCAGCAATCCCTAACATCTTTCATAGTCACTGCTGCAGAGATAATATTTGAACGAGATCATGGCTGTGTAGTTGCATGGTACGTACGTGTGTTGGGCTCTGAGACAAAACGAGCAGATGTTGCCGTTTGTGCTTCTGCTTTTTGGACACAAAAGGTATGGAAATAGACATAGTCCATTGTACAGGTATGCATGTCATGCTTAGCAGAACGGATCTGACATCTGTAGGTCGTATTGCCTCGTTAAGAACACAACGACTGCTCCTTAACCATGCAGTGAGCTGCTTGAACATACAGGGGCTAGATTTCTGCATGCCAGCCTCTGAGCATGACTCCTCAAATTAGAGCAGTGAATGCCAACCACATTTAAACATAAATAAATAAAATTAAACAGGTAGCTGCAATGGTTATTAATAATTTTGTTGAATTTCTCTTGTCTTACTAAGAAAAATAATGTTTAAGCTTCAAAATTGCATATAAAGCTGTAAGGCTGTAAGGACTGACCCCCATGGAATAACAAAATTATATTTTGTTAGTTAAGTAGTTGACATCCAGGGTTATTACAGTTCTCAGGGTTATTAAACATTCTCTCTGATTTGTCGTGCAAGCGAAGTCTGCTGTGTTTTAATAACCTACTACACAGTTTTAGTTTGAATCATTCTGGCCCCAAGCAATATTCAAGATCTCCCGATCTCTCCAGAGAGACTCTGAGATTGTAGGGCTATGTTCATTCCCTTTTGTTTTCTTTCTATTTCTCTGGGTCTTTGTCTGTTCCTTGTTTTTTATCTACTAGGTGAACTCCAAGGGGCTTTAATTAGCTAGCTAAAAAAGAAAATGCAGAGTTGAAAGAAATCAGACGGGAGTGCCTTTCTTCATGCAGCTTGCACTACAGGTTGCAGCTGCTTGTGCCTTGGCATAAGGAAAGTGCTAGCAGCGCTGGTATCCTAACCAGAGATGGAGTAGCCCACCTTTTTCCCTCTCGGTATCTGATTAGAGAGAATTTCCTCCCAGTGATTTCTCCAGACCTTCCTTCTCCACATTTCCCCATTCCTTATTGGTTTTCATCGTTCTCCTCAACATTTTATGTGCCTAAGGAAGATTCCAAAGGGCAATTAAGTACCAAATTCTCTTTGAAGGTCACCGGAAATTAGATTTTAGAAGTGCAGGTGTTACGTTTAAGACTCCAAGTGAGTTGCATATTCCTACCTTGTTATGTAGTGTTCACTGAATCATTCTGTTCAGTACGAAAATACTCTTTACTGGGTAAAAAGGAAAAAATTTGAGAACTTGTCACTGTTCTGTTCCATGTGGATATTTTGCTGAAATCTTCAAAGAAACAAACAAGGAAAAAATATTATTGGGTGTTGCAATGCTTTTTCAAAATGCCATAGATTCAGCTGCTTGAATTTCAGTTACGTTGCAGCAGTCTTCTAATCCTCACAAATGAATGAATATATATGGTTCATTGTGCTAATCTTTCCAGCTCTGGGTATCAGTGTTCCATTTTGTAATCAGAACAAAAGACTCTCAGTGTAGCCCAGACTGTAATAATAACAAGCAAAATGGTATAACAGGAGTGTAGTTTTAGCAACGATGATCTACATTGAAGGATATAAACATGGCACATGTTTGCAGGTAGAGGTGATACTTTTTTATTAGGGTGCCAGGCATAGGCCTTAAGCTTTTATTTTGGACGTGAAGAGTTTCTGTGCTCAAATCTTGCCATTTTTATTATGTCAAGCTGGTGAAAGCATGAACCCTCATTCTTCAGGGAGCGTCTCAAAGTATATGCTGAACCAATGCAACAAGTGTTGCAAACGAAGCCACTTTGGTTTGAAGCAAGCTATACTGCTATTGAGACTGTTCTCTCAATTTTAACCTATTTACTTACCCGATTGCTAATTATGAAGTAACTTTTTCCTCCAATTACATCCTCTTTATTATCTCTGTTAGTGGATGAGTGGTTTTGGTCATATCTCACTACATAGGAAAATCCAAACAGTTTCAACAAGCCATGTTTATTTTCTTTAAGAGTTGGGCTTGCAGTCTTTCGGAGAACTCAGTGAGGAAACTGACTTGTAATTAGAGAGTTAAACTATAAGCATCTTTCAAAATATCAACGACCTTTGTAGTCTAAGATTTTTGAAAACTTATTAATAAACAAAATTACTGCAGAAAACTACAAAATAACTCTCTTTAGTATTTGGGCTCCAGAATATCCTGTTCTGGGTGCCCAGCTACAGTCAGGGAATACTCAGGGTGAAAGGAAAAGGGTTTTAATAAATATATGTATGTAGCTGAGCCTTTCTCTTCTCTTCATCCCTTACAGGGATCTTGCAAGAATATTTCTACACTGGAGCCTCTGCAATAACTGCACCTTATATACTTCCAAGTCAGCTCAGGTATCGACACAAGGTAAGGAGATTAATCTACTTTGCTGGGCCACTCAATGGCCTTTCCTTGGCAGCTCAGTGCTCTAGCTATGCTGCCAGCACCACCCGGCACAGCTGGTTCGAAGCTGCCGGGGATTTCCAGGCGGAGGTGTGGCGGCCGTAGGTAGGGCCACGTGCCTGTGCTGCCCGACCCTGCTGCTGGTGCAAGGGAGAGGGCGACGCAGCTGCCTGATCCCCACTGCCCCTGGGGAGAGAGATCCGCTCCTCCGGGGAGCGAAGCCCAAAGCCGCCACGCTGGATTGCAGGAGCTGGGTGGACGCACGGCTGTGCTTCACCAGCCCAGTCAGGTGCTCGGGAGCTCGGCTTTTCATGGAAAGTGAAATAATGAACTGCCTTAATATCTACCTGCTACCGAAGAGATATAATGTGTTCCTCTATGCTTTTGCACTAACTAGAATCTAAAAATGTGTCATTACAAAAGAAACAGATTCAGTGTATTAAAAACTATATGCTTCAAACAACACAATCAGCTAAAACATACAGAATTTTGTCTTGTTCAATCTCCTGAAAAGTTCTGTGCAAAATGAAATTCTGTAATACCCGTGGTCTTAATTTTCAGCTCATAACAGCAATAACAACCACAATATGTGGTGTTTCCTGGGAATTCATTACCACTTGGGGTCCCTTCAGGAAGCTGCAAACCAGCTTCATTTTACTGTGACCATCAGACCTTAACAGCAGCTTGGCGAGTTTATTATTTTCATTTGCACCTCTGTACCTTCTGCCACGTGTTTTTGATAACAGGTTTCTCCCAAGGACTCTGAATTTCAGTTGCAAATAAAATGTTGGCAATGCTTTTGGATATGTAATGTTGTAAGATTTAGCCGTGAGACATTAGATGGGACATTTCCTAGCAATAACAACGTAATAACAGCTTAGCAGGATTTTTTAGTTATCTGCAGGCTAGATGATCTTTATTTTAAATTGATAACAAGGGCCAGGTGGCTGTTTATAAGGGCAAGATATGAATTGCAAGCATATGTTTCCAAGGCAACGTTGGCCAGTGGCTGTTCAAGTATAAATTGCTTCCTATTACCACTTCTGATAGGAGGGACACGGTACAGTTCATCTCCATGGGAACACAGTATGGCAGGACACCTCTACAATTACTCTTCGCATTATTTCCAGTTTTAAAAAAAGGGCAATATTTACTCCATCATAACGCTACTAATTGATATTGCAGCGGGTAGTTTTGTTGACCAAGGATTAGGAATCATCTCCCGTGCTGTCGTGTAGTATTCCCATTGAGGGCCATGTGTTTAGCGTGGAAGATACACGGAGGAATTACAGAGTTGGTAATACAGCCTGCAGGATAGAAAAGTGAATTGATGCTTTGGAAAAAACCAGGCTTCCTCAATGATCTTAGGGATAGCATCTTGCTCAACTTCAGTTTCTCTAGCTGTGAAACTGAACCTTCTGGTAGTCATTATTAGGTTGTGAAGTTAGAATGATATTATTTCTGGGTTTCTGTTTGTTTCTAAAAGGACAAGACAGAAGCTGATTGCAGTATGGTTATGTTTTTACTAAACCTGGAGAGAGAATATGGGAAGGGGTAAGGGGAGAGTACTTGTCCTGTCTGAAGGAAGGAAAAAGTCTGTGTCTAAAAATCTGCCATGTTATGTCAAAGCAGGAGCTGCTGGATGCCTTTGTTTAATGTGCTCTAGTTGATTTTGTCTCTTTTTTTTTTTTGGTGACATAGAAATAATAGTTCAGTCAAAAGTACTTGTCTAGCACCTTGCCTACCATTTTCATATAATCCAAGAGGCCACTTTGCTGATGTTCTGTGGTATGTATGCTCTGTAGTTTAAATCAATTGCTTCAAGGATATGAGAAAGTAGGAATCAGACATAATCTGAACACAGAGGACAAGTAGTTCTGTTAACATAGTTTTAAGGTTATAAGTTTTTGGCAGAGGAGAACCATGCCTGGTTTTTTTTAACAAAAGCTCTGAAAAACCTGGTCACCCCTTTTCTTGATAGTATAGTTTGAATTTGCTTTTCCTGGAATGGAAAATACATCAAAAGGGATGTGAGGTGTTTAATTGAATTGCTTGAAGGCTTTTTTTTTTTTTTTTTTAGTTGGTCTTAAGCTTACGTTTTCTACTTAGCAAGAAGAATGCTATGCAAGGGCTGTTCAGTGCAGTCTGGTGGAGCCAGCTCTTTAAAATCCATGACTGCAAGCTCTGCTCCCCATCTCTGCTGTCCTCTCTTTAGGAACCTCATTATCTATATTCAGCATTCCTTCTTCTCCTCTATCCACCTGCTTACGCTTAAACCTAGAAATCTCTGCCCTGGGATCCATTCCCCAAAATATTACAGCAGTAATACAAATTTTAAGACCTACTCGCAGCAGAACTTGTATTCTTTCAGTATTAGCAGTATAGTAAGGTACCATACTCTCTACATTTTTCATCTATTCCTGTATCCATGCACCATAAACTAACATAAAAATGATTTTATCAGTGTTTCTTATTTTCCAAAGGTAAGGGGACTGTTGACTTTCCAATGTTTGTTTGGATTTGTTTCAATAAAATTAAACTGCTGGTGGGGAGGAGGCAGCACTTTACCCATTGAATTGTTTCATTACTTCATAGCTAACATATGTTTAGTTCCCGATATTTCTGATGAGGGCTTAAGCTGATGCCAATGAGTCTTCTTAAAACTGACTATAGACACCTAAGTCTGGATGCTTTTAAGATCTGTAGCAGCAGAGCAAATAGATTACAGTGGAAATACTAGACAAATACAAAAAAATGAATGTTGTTTTGAACAAGGTAAAGATGGAGAATTGACCACTCCTGCTTACCACGCAGATGCTGTGCCAAGGAGAAGCTCAGAGAGCTGATATTGGGAAGTTGCAGCACAGTGACACATTTAAGATTAATGTCTCTGAGACTGCTAAAATAAACTAGTGTGGCTGTACAGCACTGCATTTTACGTGAAAGAGCGTGACATAGCTTTATGCAGATTGGGTATGATAAGATTGTTAGTAATTAGCGCCTTTCAAAACAGTGGGCTAAGCAAAATGGAGAGTTCACCTTGTTTTCTGAAAATTAGAGGTTTGAAGACTACATAAAATTGGTTCTGGGGCTTTGAAACTACCTTGGCAGTTATTGGTTTTCAACTTACTTTTCTGAGGGTAGCATGCACGGCTGCTATATAAAGAAACAGTCTTTCTGGGTACATGGTGCCTTTGAAAATCAGATTCCTTTTTTTTTTTTTTTTTTCCCCTCCAAGTTTCCCTTTGCTGATAGTTGAGCAGGCCATTGTGGGGTTTGGGTTTAATTCGCTGGCATTAACAACATAGCATATTTTTTAATATATTAGGGGACTTCAAATGTTCTACTGAATGATAGAAAGAAAAATGCAGTATCTGGGGCCCACTGAAGCTGTTGGAGTTCCCTGGCTGAGTTTTGTGTTACCCAGCTAAAGATCTTTAGCCATTACCACACAGGTTTACCTGTAAATATCAAAATACCAAGCCTTGTAGGTATTCTACAGGGGTGCCAGGTTGCAGAAAAAATATTTACTTTCTTTCTTCCTTATTCTACTATATTTGTTTTCTTAATTCTCTGCCAAATAACTAAGGAAAGTAAATCTAATGGCTAAGTAATCTCTCATGTTGAATTATAGTTTAGATTGCTTATCAGCTTCTGTTGTGTAAGTATAATCTGACTCATGGGAGAAGAACTGTTAGCAAATGTAAGCTTCTTTCAAGTTTTGGTATAAGATAATAATTTGTAAAGTTTTTCTACATCTTAAGCCATTATAAGCCATGTTTTGGTGATGCCACGCTTTCTTGAATGGACAGAGATAGTGTGTAGCTGGTGGGGTTTTACTGACTTCCCTGATTAATGTTTCCAATTCTTTATTTAAACTATAAGCTGTTGTTAGATGGAAGAAATAGTACAAATCTGCAAAGATTTATTATCATGTTATTCATGTATTATAGTTGCATGTATATGCGTGGGGAAGGTGTCTATGGGCAGTGATACCCCAGAACTGTATTAACCATTACAACTGCTGCAGAGCTGCCTAGAAACTGGATCTATATGAGATTGTGTTCTGGTAAGAGTCCCAAGAACTTGGGCACCTAATTGTTTAAAATATTATTATTTCCCAAAATCTGGATCCATTAAGTTCTATCTTATCTTGCAACTGCAGAAATTTCTGAGAGGTCTGCTGCCCTTCGGGAACAGAATTACCCATGTCTTGATTGCGCCGAATTGCCTGGTAGCTGTGCTATTCCCCAGCCGCAGCAGGATTCAGAAACAAGACATTGTACGTACCGGGTACTGCCTAATACACATCTTACACACTTAGTGGCAGTTCTTTTCATCTACCTCATTTGGACTACAGAAGGAAATAGTTTCAACTGGTGGGATTAGAGGTTTTGTAAAATGACAGACCTGCATTCGAAAGCTTTGCTGTGTACCAGGTAGAGGGAGGACTTGAAGATAGATTGTTTATAACATACATTTGTGAGTATTAAGTGATCATTTGCTAAAAATGACACCGATATTGCCTCAGTTTGTTTTGGTGGGTTTTAGGGGTGGTTTTGGGTTTGGTGTGGGGGTTTTTTTGGTGAGGGAGGACAGACCATGCTGAGCACTTTTAACTGCAGGACGAGGCTCAGAGTTGTGAATGCAAGTGGATTTAAGTGGCTAAGTTACTTCTAAAGGGAATCCTAGACATATGTCCTGCTTTGTATTTTCCTCTTAACTAGGTCGACCAGTTGATACCAGACATCTCTCTCTTTGTTGAACAAGGAGCCTAAAGACGTTAACTTGCAGCTGTGGATTCTGCTGCATAGCAAGACGCTATGGTTAGAGATCTGGACAAAACTTAAGTAGCTTTAGTAAAATACAAATGAAAAGTAGAAACCATTCTATCATTCAGAAACGACAGTGTAAGTTGGCAAAACAGAGAAAAGTTGTGAAGCTGAGGTATTTCTGTTTTACAGGTGAGGGACTGGTGGCTTGACTTGCTGAGGTTCATAAAACAAACCTCAGCTAGGATCAAACATGAATGCCCTTACAGTAGAAGGCAACAGAACCAGAAGGGAGTTACTCACAAGATCCCAATCTTTATTGCTGGGAATCTGGAGGATCAAAGCCTCTGTTTTTCTACTTGAAAATGTTGTCCATGTGAAGATTTTGTGCATGTATACAGATTTTTCCTGGATCCATCTCTGACCGAGTGAGGATCAACTGTACTCTATGTGGAAGAGAGACCAGATGCTCACAGAAACATGGAGTGTACACACAGCTAGAAAATGATATTAAGGTAAGTACATCATATACAGAGATTGGAAGCAAAGTTTAGAATTCTAATTATCAGGTCAGACTCTATCTGGAAGTTAATGTGCTTCCCTAATAAACAAGAACACCTTTCATTCTACAAAAGCCACTGGTGTTTTTTTGCCTCTACAAAAGCCATTTTTGCTTTTTTAAAACCAGAAAAAATTGGTACAATATCACTTAAAATCACCAAAAGTTTCTTTAATTTTTTATAGATTTTGTATGCCTCTCTAAATCTGGAGTTATGCGTTAGTTCTAGATTGTTTTTTCTCCAACTTTGGCTTTCTCTTCCTACAAAAGAAATTTCTCAACCCTTAAAATTGTTCTCAGTATTTGCATAACAAGTGTGTAAGCAAAACTAAAAAGGCTCATTCGTGCCCTTGTTATCCAGTCTCCACTTCAGTGTGTTGTTTAACAAACACAACACAATATAAAGGGGACTTGTGCGAACTGCTTTTTCATTTCACTTTGAAGCAGAAGGGTAAGTTGAATTTCCTTTTAATAAATCACAAGAAACTTCAGCTAGAAGACAAACCTGTTCCTTTTCATTTCTGTGGTCATATTTACATTTTAAAATTTAATCTTCCTTTAATAATAGGTTTTTTACTTCACTTATATTAGCAATTGTAGTAGATGAGGAGATGCCTGAAGGACACCAGATTGTAATGACTGATGAAGGTCATTAAAACCGGATTATAACTGAAGAGCTGGTTTGTTCCATTTTGCTATATAACTGATCAGAACTCTGACTCTGCATCATAATCCAATTATGAGCTAGATGCAGTAGTCCATTCAAACGCAATTCCCTGAATGATCAGCACCAGATGAAGAGTACCTGTGGTAATCGCATTTCCTTATCTCAGGGATGTAAGTATCCCTGTCCAGCTAAGGCAGGTTTCTGTTAGAGACTTTAATAATCTTCTGAGTCATCGGTCAGCATTGTCAGAGGTGTCTGTTAGCCTTCAGTTTAGTAAATGGTAAACAACTTGAGACACTTCAGATTTAATACACAAAACGCGACAATGTTTTTAATACAGCATGTGTGTTCTCAGGTGGATTTGAAATTTCCACTCGTTAAAGTGGAAATTCTTGACCATGAGGGATAGATGCTATTACCTAAACAGATTCTATATGCAGCAAAATGCTGAAATTTGTGACATAAGTTAATGCTCTTATATTCAAGGCTATGTCCCACTGAATTGATTTTCATGAGACATTCCTCTATAAAAACATGTGAACTTTGCCCTTAAAAATAGCTGGTATCGATGCAGATTTAGAATAATGTCAAAAACCTTCTACGATAGACTCGGTCTGGAAGATGTAAACAATACTTTTTGGTTTTTTTAAAGCTCAGTCCAGTTTTAGTGTAACCGTTTAATAAGCGGCAATAATAATAAACTGATATTTTGATTCTGCTTGGCATGTATGCTTTGAAACAAATTTCTTGTTTTAACTGATAAACCCAGGCGTTAATAATCTTGCAGCATTGAAATCAACCAAGATTTTATTCTCAACTTTAAGGGGAGCTGGATTTAGAACATACTATGTGTCAATTAAAATTATCTTGTCAGTTCTGAATTTTTTTAAGGATGAAAGTTTTTAAGAGAGTGTAGTACATGATCGTCTCTAATTCATGACAGAAGAAAAGTGAGGTCACAGGTATTAAAGTGTAAGTTTTGTACGAGAGTCAACCCATCAGCGTCATCTCATTAGAGAGGGATACCTGCTCTGGCATCTTGAACCTTCCTTTATCTCCCTTATTATTTTAACTGAATGATGCCAATAGCTGGATATCTCCATGCCATAGTGTCCGATAATCCGTCAGTTCCAGTTTTATAACCACACAGCATTACCAATGCTGCATACCCACTAGCTGCGTTGTAAATCTATGGTTTCAGAGTGCTTTTTAGTCGTGATATGTCAGCACTAAGATCATAACCCAACTTAACTTTATATCTGAAATGCTAAAATAAGATGAATAGACCTATTGCCAACTGGCAAAAATGTGTTTTCTACAAGACTACCTCTGACATTTTCAAACTTGTGAAATTTTGTTCAAAACAAGATAGGAATGTCAATTGAGCTATACAATTTTGCCCATGTGTAAAACACTCTGTCAGGCTGCTTATTTCAAATAAATGTGCTTAAATAGAATTGTGTTTAAAGAGATTGCTAACTAGCTCCAAAGCATCACAACAACTGCTGTAACAGATTGTGCCTTTCAGGTTGGTAACATACGCACCTATGTTTCATTGAGTGATTATAGCCCTTACAGACAACTAATGGCTTAAGCGTGATCAGTTACCTCTGAGCCCATCATTTTTCAAGGATTAATCCAACAAATAGTCAGTGATAGCAAAAAGGATGATTTGTCTTCACTACTCCCAAATGTGTAGCTGTCATTCCATAATGAGCATACCAACCTGTATCAGTCCAGAAACAGTTTTTTTTGTATAACCTATGAAATGGTAGCAAAACAAATCTGGGATATCTCTCATACCTAAACTATCAACTTTATTTAAGCAAGGAAAGAATGTAAATTTCAAGGAGGGATTAGGGGGAGGAGGAGGGGGAAGAGAGAGAAGAAAGTGTTTAATTATATAAGCCAAGGCCTACACTTTCTTACAGAACCATTGACTGACAAATATGTGGGTTTTCTTACAGCTGGCCCGAGCAATCATGTTCTCTTACTTGCCCTGTGTGCTTACAGCAATAGCTGTTTCGCTAGTGACTTGCCATGCACAGTGTAAATGTCCAGGAATTTCTGGACTGCTTGGAAGAGATGGTCTGAAAGGACAGCCGCTTCTATGGGGTAAGCAAGCTTCTTTTTTTTACAACAAATCCTTGTCAGGAGGGCTGCATGAATAAAAACGGTTAACACAGAAGGACACGTGCCCTTGAGGAAGTGGTTGTGTCAAGCACGGGAGGGAAACTAAATGGAGGAAATGGTCAGTTTAATTTTTTTTTTTTTTTTTTTTTTTTCTGAAAGATAGGCCTCCTCTCTCTTCTGGGAGAACAGGGGAAATGGCCACAAGGTGAGAAAGGAGAAAAGGGGGGTATTGGACCACCACGTGAAAAAGGCTAATGTCTATGTAATAGTCTGTCAGTCAAATGGACTCTCTTTATTGGGCCAAACATGTTGAGTTTTGCTGACTGTGAAGTGCAGTAAGAGTTGCAGCTCAGAGAGAGGGAGATGCAGCAATATTTACTGCTTCTACGTTGCCATTGGTTTGAGTCGTCAATAATGGGAACACACTAGTAACTTCATTCAACATGTAGGACCTTTGTTACTCATGGAAATTTGTATGAAAAAATTATCTGTCTTTACAGTGAGTTCTCATCTTTAGCAAGCAGTGCTGGATGAACTCTATTTCACATAATGTATGCAGAAACCCTCCTCTACAAGTGTTTATAGTTGCCATTAAAATAAAATAAGATCCCACTGTAAAAACACAAAACATCCACCCAGTAGATTAAAAAGAAAATGCTATTGTGCCACAGGAAAGGTTCCCTCCCCAAAATCTCCCTTGTGGCTGTTCACTAACCATTTTTAGAATGAAACAAATTCTCTTTGGCAAAGCTACTTTCACACACATGACAAACATCAGGCTTCAACCTAGAAAAAATCATTTTCTTCTGCGCAGAAGGGAATTACCAGCTTTTCAGAGGGCTGGAGGGTTTTGTTTGCTTGCTTTAATAAAGGTTAACAACAGTGTGAAAAATACTGGGAAAATATTTATGTTAAAAACAAGTTACACTGTGTGCTGATTATTTTTATCCAAGAAATTGTTCCTTTCAGCAGAGCTTAGTTTTGCTTGATCATATAACTTTTATTTTTATCTGTGTAGGTCTACCTTATTCTCCGGACACTGAACTTTACAATATGTTAGTAAATTTGAAGTACCGACTTTCCAGACTTGAAGGCGGTAATTTTTTCTATTTTTACTTTTTCCACTCACAACGGTTTTTAATACAATAGGCAAAATTAGTTATAGAATCATGACCTGCAGGGAAGAAATCACACTTGAAATTTGTACTACATCCCAAAACTCCATTTTCTAATGCCAAGCAGGGGAGATCAGGACTTATTTTCCCTGGAGAAGCAGATTTCTCTCAGGAACGCTAATGCACATTTTTTCAAATTTGAATTATTAAAAAAGAATTGCAGCTGGAGTTGCACTTCCCGCACGAACTCATGGGAACTCCTCAGCCTTGTACCATGTACACACAATATAAGAGGGCTGAGATCAAGCAGCATAACAATATACTTAGTGAACACCTAGTGATTTGGTGAAACTTAAGATCTTTATTCCTCTTCATCCTTGGCCCTCTATTCCCTCACCTGTTCCTCTTACCACTTTTAATTTTTCTCTTTATCTCTTAACTTTTCTTTGCTTTATCATCAATATCCCACAGGAAATTAAAAAAGCTAACTTGTTTTTTTTCTGTTTTAGTGCTTGCTTTGACTGGGAAAATAAGAGAAGTCGGAGAGAAAATACTTGCCAGCAACGGGAAGGAAGTTGATTTTGCATCTGCACTAGAATCCTGTGAAAAGGCTGGAGGAACTCTTGCAGCCCCCAGAAATGAGGAGGAGAATAAAGCTATTTTGGGTATTGTGAAACAGTATAACCGATACGCTTACCTGGGCATTAAAGGGGGTGAGACTTCAGGTCAATTTATGTATATAGATGGCACTCCTCTGAATTATACCAAGTGGCACCCCTATGAGCCTAATGGCAAGGGGACAGAAAAATGTGTAGAGATGTACGCAGATGGGAGCTGGAATGACAAAAAATGCAACCTGTATCGCCTCACAATCTGTGAATTTTAAACAATGGCCTTTCAGTCACCTCGGAGTACGGAGACAATGAAATATCCTATTTCTCCAGTTTATGCAATTCCTGCAATCATTCTATGTCAGAAAATCTAAAGTTAATCATATTGCGGTAATTTTTTTATCCTTAAGAAAATGCCAAATGTGGTAGGTGATTAATTTAATTAAAATGTGCCTAATCTGATGTGTTTATCTCATTTGGAGGGTTGGGAATAACTCAAAAATCGTTTTTCATGGCAGACTGTCTCTGTGCACTGTGTCTTTGTGAAGATTAGAGGGAAAATCCAAGGTTTCACTTGGGATATTTGGAAAAGCTTGAAGTTAAAATTGCCCATGGCTTCGTAGTGGAAACGTTTCCAAGTATTTAATACTTTCTGCCTTAAAAGAGATGCACAGAGGTTGACTTCACTGGAGCAATTATGGTCTCGGGTTTTGTACATCTCTGAATTATAGGGCTTGTATTGTGTCATTTTGAAGCATGCGCTGATTCATTCAGCATCCATATTTACCATTGTTTTATAGAAATATTTTTGCATACAATGAATTTTCTTAGTTTCAGAAGCTACTCTCCATAAAACACCAAGATAAACATTGCACTAGATCCACATAGATGTGTATAAAATACTAAAGATTGAGTTTTGTTGCTAAAACAACACATTCCCTCATAACCCTGTGACCACTGCAGTGTTAGGCAGCCAGCTATCTTCTCCTAAACCACTGAGCAACCACATACTATTTTGGGGGAGCAGGTAAGATTGGAAGTTCAATCAGTTCAAACACAAGCTATTTCTCTGCTGATGTCATGCTAAGCAACCACACAGTCAGGCCGTGACTCAAATCTGCTGGGATCAAGAGGCATCTTTTCACAAAATGTTTTCACTGCTACTCAGTTTGAGTAGCTGGCGAACAGTGGGAGCTCAGTAAAATACCACAAGTAGCAAATTCTCATGCACTTACGTTGCAGTGAGGAAGTCCTGAGCTCATTCATTATCATTTACACACCACCTGAGGGGAAAAAAAAGGAAGCACTGGAGTCAAAATACACGCATAAACACCTTTACTTCATCTCTTCCTCCCTCGTATTTGACTCTGAGCAGGGAGCCATAGGAACCTTGACTTGACTCTGGGCAATGCCGTCCTTTGTCCCTAGCCTGCCTTGGGGAAGAGATGGGATCTATTCACATGGTCATTTCAAGCCCTGTCAAATAGGAAGGTTTAGCATCTTCAGATGTGGGAGATAAGGGGATGCTTTTGGCAGCAGAGGATTCATGTCCAGCATCGCATACAGCACTCCAGCTGATCTGAGAGCTGACGGGGACTTTGAAATGGGAAAAGGACACCCAGTACCACATTGGACAGATTTAAGGTGTGAATCTGCTTTACAAAATAGCTTCCTTTGAGAGCTATGACCGTGATACCATTTTGGGCAAAAATTTCAAATGGGACAAAAATTCTGACTCTCAGGTTTCTTTGAGAAAAGATAATGCTGAACTAATACAGCTTAATTTTCCTAGGCTTAGCTCTGACCAGCTGCACTAAATCTGCTAGAAAGAGTTGAAGGTTTACTTAAAAGTACCTCTATTTCTTGTGTTTTAATTATTAGTATTTTTATGATTAAACATTGTTAGCAATTTTTGAGTCTTTAAACTATATAAATTCTTTGTTAGATCAAGATGATTACCTGTTATAATAAGGCATCACATTGGAGAAAGAGAAAAAAAAAATAATCACTCCACTAACATCATCTTTTCTAGTCTGAACCAAATTAACTTATTCATTTACACTGTTCTCCCACTAGGTTTGGAGTACCCTATTCCTTTACTTAGTCAACGATTTATTTCCACCACATTTACATTTACAAAATGACTACACAAATCTCTTGTTAAAATCCTTAATCTGTAAAGCCTTACAAACAGCTTGACACAATATATCATCTATCTCTAAACTGATTTAGACTTCAAGACACTTGGATGCTTTTTATCCAGTTAAGGGTAAAATTATTTTTTCAGTCAAAAGCTAATTTTTATTCCATCACTAAGCAACGTGAGGCTAGATCTCAGAGTCCAATTTCTTTCTGCTTAAACCATTACTATTAGAAAAACAAACCAAAACCAAATACAGCTATGCTGCTTAAAAGTAAAAACTCCTCAGATCTGGTCAACAAACTACTAGGCAGAACTTTCCCCTCTATGGTTCACATTGAGATCTGTAACATTTCAGGTAATTGAACTAAACTCCTCAGTTATTTTCATAAAATATCTCCATATAACATCATACTCAGCTCTTCTCTTGCTATGCTCTAGCCTTCCCCTTATACCATTCTGAAGCAGCGCTCCTTCTGCGTCCCAAGTCTTGACTCCGCCTTATATATAAATAAAATCCAAGATATCGAGGAGATGTCTGCCAGTATCCTGCCTTCTTTATAAAAAACTGTGTCCATATTTCCATATTCTTTTGCATGAACTTTGATAAACTTCAGAGAAAAAAAAAAAAGTAGCACAGTGTCAACCATTGTATGTGGAAGAAATAAAATTCTCTAATAAAAGCAATATTCTACAGACAGGCTTGAAATACATTTGCATCTTGTGGATTCATATGTGGTAATTAAAATCCTGGTGAGGGTATGTACTCAGTAGAAAGTTGCTTGATTAGTCTTTGCAGTTCCAAAAAGGAACAGAAAAGTACCCAGAAATCGTCATTTTGTTCTTTTAGGTGTTTTTTTTTGTGTGTGTGTATAAACCTATCAATTTAAACCCTCAAATGCTTTTTAAAGCACTTCTAAGCATTTTAGCCTATTTTTTTGTGAAAGACTCAAATTCTGCATTTATGTATTAATGGATTTTATTTTTTTAATGGACAGAGAGGTCAGGCACAAGAAGACACAGAATTGTTGCTCTGTTCCATTATTACAGAATAATTTTGATAACATCTTTCCTTAAAAATGCAAAGAGCAAAAATAATCCGTGGTGCATAATGACCAGACCAGGAAACATCCAGGTTAGTCTTTTTTCCTTAATTTTTAATATTTTGCCACAGAAAAACAATCTTAACAGTAAGATCTTTAATCCAGAGAATAACTTATTCACTTCTTAAATGCTAGAAAAGCAGATTTTGAGAGTTAAGATCTTTGTACAAGTTAAAAGGTCACAAAAATACAGTCCATGCTGAAGCAAATGGACTGCACATCATATAAGAGAAATTTAATACAATTGTTATTGTAGTATATTTAACAGGGAGACTTTTGGTTGGGCGATAATAATGATCAATATTGATTTCAGAGAGAATTCTCTCTGGTCTAGAGTGATATCCTCTTTTATAACTATAATTTTGTTACATGATTTAGCTTAGAAATACTGTTAGCAATTTTGAGCACTCAGAAACCTTGCCCCTGTCAATCACTACCACATGTAAAGAAATTGACCTTAGATTACAGCAAATAAGTATTTTTCTGTGGCTTCCTGATTTTTGTAAAATTTGATTTGAAAAAAACAAGTGCTGGGGAAAACCAAGTTCAAATAGTAACTGGCAGGATACGACACAGGTTGGCAGGCCTACTTTATCTTGTACAAATCGTGACCAGTGCCTCTTTTATGTTTTTGGTTTTTTTTTTTAATTTTTGAAGCCAACTTTAAAGAAGAATAATTACATTATTCCTCTCTTCTTTTCCAGAGAGAAGAACCTGAACAGTGGAAAAATACTAGTACTTGCTGCCATAATACCCTCGTAGTGCTGCAAATACAAAGTAGGGTAAAGATTAATCATATGTTTTACACTTATTTGCAGCTTTTCTTTAGAAGAACAGTAAGTGCAAGGGGGAGAAGAAATATTTGCCACCAGGAAATCTGTTAGCTGGTTTTGAAACCCCATTGAGAAGTGGTAGAAAGACTAATGGCCGTATTACAACTCTTATGAGTCAGAGGAGAACAACTTTCTTGGGGATATTGTGTAATGGTGTTTGTCTGGATTTCAAAGAGTGTCAGATTGCAAGTGATTTTCATTATCAGAAGTTGAAATGTACTGTTATAAAATCATATTAACCTACAGTTATACAAACATACCTGGGTTTAAAGCACAATCAATACAGGATGCTTGGAAATTAGAGTAGCACTTTTAAAATTGATAAGGGGACTTGGATTTGAGTTGAAGTCCCTGTTAGGAAACTAGGGTTTGGCAAAATTTGGCTCAAGGGTAATAAACCAGGTGAAACCTGGAATTAAACTTTCACCCATCTTTGCCCTTGTGGCTCAGGAGCCAAAAGAAACTGTACAGCAAGGTTACCTTAACCCTTGGGGAGGCTGCAGCGATGGTAATTATGGAGTAAAGAGTGCAGTGAACAATTTAACCTTATTCTGCAGATAATGGAGGACAACTGCAGAATATATAGAATAATAGTTTCATCTGGCTCAAACATGAGCAGTTTTTTTCCTCTCCCATATTTTGCTATTAACAACTATTGAAGAGATGATATTCTCTTGTTTTCTATTTGTCATAAACACAAACCTCTATTTCTTTCTCTGTTTTTTAGCTGAGCTGCACCAAGTAACATATCAGAGACATCTAGTGATCTCCACTTGGATCCTTCACACATAAGTCAGCAGAGCAAGATGTCGGCAGCATTTACAAGCACTGATCACACTGTCTACAGGTAAAATGAAAACTTTCTGCTCTAAAATACAGGTCATAATTAAAAAAAAAAAACAAACAAAAAACAACCAACCAAAAAAACCCCAAAAAACCACAGACAACCAAAACACAAAACATGTTGCAGTTTGCCATCCCAGGTGTCCATATCTTGCTGAATTCTTTGCTTCCTGTTTTCAAAGCTCAGAAAAATAGCCCCAGCCCTCCTCTGAGAAGGGGAAGCACCAGGTCCCACGTGTTCTCTGCTCTTCCAGACGTTTCCAGCCATAACCGAGCTGCTGGGGACAGTCTGACAATGATTTGAAAGAGAAAAGGAAATGCAGAAAGCACAGGATAAGGTGGTAGCAAGGTTGGAT